GGCAGGCAGGTAGGTAGATAGCTTGTATACAGCAGCGACAGGCGAGCCGGTATGGCGTGTACAGCCTATGTATACAAATGCACTACAGCAGCGTGGTCAGGACGGGCGGTCGTTTGGCATCAAATTCGGCAGGATTTGGCATCTATGTATTCTTGGGGCGTTGTTCTTCGCACTGCTGCCACCATGTAATGGTATTCGACAAGTCTTGGTTGTAGTTAAGATGATTTATTAAGCACGAACGAAGTTACAACGTTGACAGGGGCGCTGCCATGTAGGATTTCTTTACTCGCGTACAGCGCTCATAATAGATGGCGCGTCGGTGCAGTGTATAAAATAATATGAATACTGCTACAGCCAAGGTGGCATACGATGGATTTGTGTTCAGTAGGGTCCAAGCTAGACGCTACCAGAATCTGTAATAAAATGTTGTATATATGTACTCTAACTCCCACCCATGGCTCAAAACTCCATTCTGCCACCGGACTAGTACGAAGGGTTTGAAACGAACATAAAACGGCCAAGAGCCAGCAGAACTATTGATCTGTAAAAAATACTAGCCCTTAATGACATATACTGACCCTTTTCGTGATATTTTTAGATGCAAATCAGCTGTACTCCCTCCGCCGTATCAGTTGCTGAAAAATTATGTAATTTGGTGCTGATAAGGAAGCGAAACTTTGCATAAAAACTGAAAAATAAAAAGTAAATAATAAATATTTTTAAAGAAATAAGATAACGTAGAATAGGGTTTGTATTTGTCAAGATTGCAGTCATTTAGACATAATTATATATATGTATATTTTATAATCGACCGCACCAATATTCTACCAGCAACAAGCACCTTTTTTTCCTAAGAAAATAAGAACCTAAATAGCCTAATTTCCCAGTAAACACCAATTATATAAGAACCTTTTTAGGCTAACTTGGATAAATACAGGTTCTTATACGAGGGTTTTTACTGTATTGCGCTCACACTTTTACTATATTCACTAGCAGGTGAATTGCTGGCAGGCTTAGTGAAGAAAGTTCAGGGCACACAAATAAAATTTGAATCTATTTCTACTTGTACTACTAACTTTGTTCGTGTGTAGGTGGCGATCGCTGTGTAAGCAAAAGATTTGAACCCCGTGTTTTTGTGGGCAGGAGTTATAGAAAAAAGCACTAGGATTAAATCGATATCTAATTCTATTTTTAGTACAGTGGTCTCCAGTATCCTTTGTCGGGATGAATGGGCATATCACTTAAATGGCATATATGTCTTTGAAAAACAATCGTTACACATGTTGTTACGTAATCGGGACATTTTCATGCTTTCCGACCTGTCCCGATAAAGTGGGGACCACTGTCCTATCTTTGTTCTGAGGTAAATCGGAATTGCGGTGTGAGTGAAAAGTTTCAACCTTGTGTGCAGAAGTGGAACGTACTGGCGCAAAGAGGTCCCGGAATAGTGAGCAAGTCCAGGTGGTAATGCCAGACTCCGGTTCCGGTTCTCGCTTCGATAATCTACAGACGGGTGATGCTATGATGCAAGAAGCTGTACCAAGTGCTGAGGTTGGACCGAGTAGCATTACGTTTATCTCCTCTCACTTACTATCGTGTGTAATCACATCCAGCTTCTATATATTCTCTGTCATATCTAGCTTCTAGAGCAGATTTATATAGCCGCGTTCACACGGATCAGTTTGACCCGAACTCGAAAACGACCCGGGCTAAATGCGTCCTGGGCCAAGCGTTCACACGGACGTTTTCTCAGTACAAAAACGACCCGTGTCATTTCGACCCGAGTGCTGGTTCATTTTGCCGTTGAACGCGCACCGACACACGACCCGGGACAAAATTAGTACGGCGGTAGACGTCGCCAGTGTCGACCCAACTGAGTTTACATGAGTTGTTGCTGTGCACTAATTGTTTCATTCACATTGTTCGCTTGGATGCATTATGTTTTTTTCAGCTCGCAGCTCGTGTTAACTCGACCCGTGTCGTTTTTGATCTGGGTCAGTCTCGGATGGTTTTTGACCCGGGGCAATTGTTCCATGTGAACGCGGCTTGTGTCTCCTGTGATATTTTACGTACAACTTTCATCTTACGTAATTACATTCTTGCATGAACAACAGGCAGTGCTCGCACACACTCACTCAGCTTTAATTCATTTATTTACTCTATAGCTTGTTACTCGGTTGTTTACTTACAACAAAAAGTGTATAAGTGCACGTATATAAACGTAGTTACAGAAACGAAATTGTTAAAATTTTATGCAGTTTACTTTTTACGCACAGTGACAATATTTGATTGTGAGTGCATTATTTTAGGATGACAACGACGACGATGAGGATTGTGAGAATGTTTACGCAGATTGTGCCCCAAGACAGCCTGGACAGGTATAATATAGCATATGTGCTGGAGGTTGGAGAGTAGAATTTATAAATGTTGCCATGACTTCGATACGATGCTTCTCAATTTTTAGCTCGCCTTGACATCAAGATGAGCTATTGCCATGGGGTGTCGTCTGTCGTACGACCGTCCGTCCGTCCGTTCGTCCGTCAACATTTGGCTACGGTCAACCATAACTCAAGAACCGTTTGACCCACATGTTTCAAATTGCATATAGTTGTTACTTCTATGGGAGAGGTTTGAACGTCCTATTTTGGAGCACGCCAGTCGACCTACATTCGAGCCACGTCCACTTTTTGGCAAAAATGGAAATGGCCATAAGTCAGTTCAGGTTCAATGGATTTTGCTCATTTCTGGTATGTGATGTGAATGAATGAGGACTGGCCCAACCCAAACATATTACACAGGGTTTGATTTTTTTTTTAATTATGCATAAATTAGGTAGATTTTTGGCAATTTTAACTATGCGCATTTCCAGTGTCTGCCTATGGTCATCGATAACTCAAGAAGCGTTTGACCCACATGTTTCAAATGTGCATATAGTTTTTACTTCCTATGAGAGAGGTTTTGAACGTCCTATTTTGGAGCACGCCAGTCGACCTACTTTTCGAGCCACGTCACTTTTTGGCAAAAATGAAATGGCCAATAATTCAGTTTCAGTTTCAACGGATGTTTGCTCATTTCTAGTATGTGAAGTGAATAAGGACTGCGCCCCGCAAAACGTATGTATCACACAAGTTTGGATAATTTTTTTGTTAAATTATGCAAATTAAGTATGATTTTTGGGGCAATTTCATTTAATGCATTTCAGTTGCTGCCTACGGTCAACGATTAACTCAAGACAATCGGGTTGACCCTACATGTTTCAAATTGCATTTAGCAGTTGTTACTCCTTGGGAGATTAGTCCTTTGGAGCACGCTAGTGATATTCGAGCAACTTTTTCGGAAATTGGAAATGGCCATCTAAAATTCATTTGATTTTGGTTAATATTTTGTATGACTATGTGGAATGGTAAGGGCTAGTCCCCAAAATCAGTTGTTACTTCCTATGGCGAGGTGAGATGACAACGTCTATTACATTTATTTCATCTAATCTGGTTAAACACGTCTACAATCATACCTATATACGTGTAATATGTCGTTTTTAGAATTCTTCGTTACAGTAATTTTGACTGGAAATATTTTAATTGTTTTATATTGCGCATATTTGAAAACGAAAATCGGCGATTATTTAGGCGTAGCGCCCATCTCTCGTCAAGATTTCAAGACTTTCACATACTGAAACATTTCACTTTTCGCAGGCGG